GATGAACAAACAGATGATGGATGGATGGATGGATGGATGGATGGATGGATAAATGAGTGAGTACATTACACAGGCACCAGGATATTGGGATTTGTGAACCATTGTTCTCTCATATGGGGGAGGGTCTGGGGTGGGGTAGGTGGAGTTGAAATGGAACAAGAAGGGCAAACATAGTTGAACCTGGTTGGTGAGTAGGTGACTCTTAAGACTCAGCTTTACTGCATTAGCAAAGTTCCTTAATAGAATATTAATTAGTTAATTCATAATTGCTGAAGGGTCACCTTTGTTGTGTGAGGTGTTAGAAAACAGAAACTGAGATGACCCCTCCCCATGACCTGAGTTATTGTGTCAGGAGCCCTAGGAGGAGAGCGTGAGTGGGGCAGGTCCTTTGGTGTCCAAGTTAGCGCTGGATACAGTAGAAGCCTAGGTATTTTCTCCAGCAGTTAGTGAGTGAGTGGAGCCCTGGGCTTTGGAGATGGGCTTTTCACCACCCCAGCAGTTAATCTTAACAAAAACAAGTGCTGACCCTTATTAAGAACTTAGAGAGAACCTTGTTATCTCACCTACCCCAGCCACATGTGTTGAGCAGTTGACTCAGTGGGGGGGGGGGCTTGTGACCAATATGTCATCATTCTGCCACAGGCATCATGGTACACTGTGGGAAAGGGGTTGGGTGAGGCTTATAGCCTAGGATGCTGAAGTCAGGACTCAGAAGACACAGCTCTCCTAGGTCGTGTCTGGTATGTCATAGGCCCTCAGAACATAATGGAGTGTGTCTCTGGGACTGGGCATAGAATTAATAGAGGCCTTCCCCTCCCTCTTTTAGGGAACCAAGCAAAGGTCAAAGGTCTTGGTATCAAGATTCTGGACTATGGTCCACTTATGTGTCTGACTCTCTGTTCCCTGCATGGTAGCCCCCATCCCTGACCTTTCGGTGTCTTGTGTTTACTAAAGCCCTATTTCCCCCTTTGACTCCTGAAACATGAAGTTCTCCCCTGTGATACATCCGTCTTGACCTAGAAAACTCTCACTCATCCTTCGAAACTCACTTCTCAGGAAACTTCAGAGTCACACATGTCGGCAAGATCCTCCCGTGTTGATGTTTTCAGGTAGTGCAGACAGTGGTGTGTCCACTTTAGATGCCTGAATCTTATCGTTCCCCAACAACCCTCCGGGGTTGGCATTATTGTTACCTCATTTTGCCAGTGAGGCAATTGAGGGCTCTGAGAAGTTGGTAACTTGCCCAGACAGTGGACGCTGGAGTTGGCTTTGAGTCAGTCATGGAGTCTGACAGCTTGTGACCTTTCTTCTCTCACTGCCTGTTCTCTCTACAAGGGCTGGGACCTTATCTTTCATTCCGTCGTTCTCAGTAAGGACACACAGTAGGTTCTCGGTTCGACACACAGTAGGTCCTCAGTAAATATATGTGTGTCGAGTGACTCTGTCAGCAAGATTTGAAGGACCACAGCAGCAGAGGAGCAGCAGCTACATCCTGCCCACTCCAGGGTGGCACTTCAGCAAACACAGATGCTCAGAAGAGGGCCAAGCTGGAGGGGGAGAGGTGGGTGGGGCTCCTGGTATCTCTGAAGAGATGAGGCTTTGATTCCAACAAGGCTTTGAGTGACGACTCAATCTTGTGGGGGCGAAGTGCTCTCTCATCATATAAATAGGCCTCTTTGGTAAGGGAGAAAGAGTCTTTATGGCCGCTCTGCATAATTAGATGGCAAGGAAAACTC